GGAAGAAAACTTAGCTGATGTTCAACATTCACTCTGACAGTTGTTCTCCTCACAGCAAGCAGTTATTATTGACACATTGTGGTTGAACACAGTGAGGAAGTCAGTGCACCGCTACTTTGATAATGTGGCCCCTCTAAGTGGAGTAAAAAGTAGAGTTCACAGTGTGGAGAAAAAAGGCTTCCAGCAGCTTCAGTTGGTCAGCTTGTGTTTTTGTACAGAGACTGGGGATTTGCTGTCACTGTGGGCTTCACAGCACAGTAGTACAGAGCAGGAGTCACGTCACTGCAAGTCAGAGGAGTCTGCAGATCCATTCTGGTTTAATCACCACTCACTGTAAACTGACAGTCCAGACTTTGTTTCATTTTTGAGTTCCAAGTGAGAGATGAGGAACTCTGGTGGTTTCCTGATTATTGTCGATACCAGACAGAAATAATCACTGATAGCTGCCTTTGTGGAGTAGTTGTAGGAACAGAGTAACAGTGCTGCCTTCTGAACTGAACTCTTCAGTCTTGACTGGAGTCAGTTCTCTTCACAGCTGACTCCTAAAGAAACAGAAAAACTCTGTTATAAGCAGCATCGTATAATTGTATAATGTAAATTTTCAAATAACATAATTTACATTAGTTTTGCTTGCATTGATCTCACATACCTGTTTAGAGTAGAGACAAAAACAGCAGAGACAGTACATAATAGTCCAATACAGCATGTTGAATAAAGGTAATGTGATGGTTTGGTGTATTGAACTGTGCTGAATAATGGAAGTTCCTCTCTTCTTCTATATAGTTCAATAACAGCTCAGCTCCTCCTGAATCGTCTCCGTCGTCCCCTCTTAGATCTGTATTTTCTCTCTGTGACACTTCCTCCTGGTGAACAGGACTGGAGCAGATATTTGGTTACCAATTACTTTCAGATTTTACAAAAGGTTTTCTGTGATGATTAAAGGATACATCACCTTTTCAGGATTATCATCAGATGATGAAAGGAAAAGGTCATCACAACAATATTACAACACAGAGTATCAGCATTTGTGATAACATCGGCAGACAGTTCAGAAACAAATTGATTTTACCCTAAATGGTTTACTGAATGTAGGGGCAAGTAGAAGGATCTGAAGTTCTAGGACTCAAGATGTTACAGGAAGGATTTTAACATGATATATAATCACAGTCTGTAAAACAATGGAAACTGATGATTTATTTAGAAATTATTGGATCGAAAGGACTCATACATTGAAAATGAGAGGACTTATGATTGGACCCTGTGGTACACCACAAAAAAATCACAGCTGGACAGAACAACAAGGAAATATCTTTAATAAAAATAAGAAGAAAAGCAGTTAATACCTGAGTCTGTGGTACCAACCATGTTATAGTGTTAAGTCACATTGTGTGATCTGTCAGTGATGTATGGAGACCTGACGTGGCCAAAGTGTGTAACTCCCTCTAGTGGATGTTGTGGAGTATTGTGTTGTCTTTGCTCCAAAGGTTTTTGTACAGAGTTTTGGTGTTTCCTGTCACTGTGGGCCTCAGAGCACAGTAGTACACAGCAGAGTCAGACACCTGAAGCTTCTGGATCTTCAGAGGAACTGACTTGTTGTTGACTTCAGCATTAAATCTGTTTTCCTGAGAGTCTTGAGTATTTTTTGTTCCAGAGTAGCGTCGGAGTAGAAACTTGGGAAAGTCATTTTCTTCTTGTTTGTACCAGAACAAATAAGCATTCGAGGTAACGCTGGTCTCAAATTTACAGCCAAGTGTAACTGTGTGTCCTTCAGCAGCAGTGACATCAGCTGTTGGCTGGTTCACTGTCTCTTCTCCTTTACACTCTGGGAAGAACAGAACATGCAGAGGAAGAGATGAATCAATAAAGATGATTGATTAAAGGAGAACAGTCAGTAGGTTTAAAGAGTTACCTATCCAGAGAGTCAGAATCAGGACGTTTCTCAGCCAGAGTTTCATGTCTGCAGTGAGAGGGGAGGAGGGAGAGGAAGAACACTGATCCTTGGGATCTGAGCTCTTCATCATTGGCCCTCCCTCTTTATCATCAGTACATTTACATCTCATCTGATTAGCTGATGCTCAGTTCATAATGAAGTTTCTGTCGAAACAAAGTCTCGTATTTCTCCGCACTGCCAACAGTCATTATTTTCAGGTTGTCCGTCGGTCTCATTCTCGTGGACACGATATCTCAGTAACACCTTCACGGAACTTCTTCTAACTTTGCACAAACATTCATGTGGACTCAAGGACGAACTGATTAGATATTCATGGTCAAGTTGAAGTTGACCTCACAAAACATTTTTTAGCCATAACTCAAGACTTCACAGTAACTATGACAAAATCTCTCACAAATGTTTAATATTTTCTCTGACTCTGAATTAACAGGGATGGAACCTGGAACTAGTCTGAGTGGAGGACGGATACAACCACTGTTTTATCCAATTAAATCATCATGTTCATTATTATAATGAGTAATTTCATGTTGTCGTGTCCACTTGATGGAGCTGTTGTGGAATCACAGGAGGAGCTGAGGTGAGTAAATCTTCAGTGAGGAGCTGTCAGGTTTTTGTACAGGGTTTTGGAGCTTCCTGTCACTGTGGGCTTCACAGCAGAGTCAGTCACTGCAGCAGAGGAGATCTGCACATCCACACCATCGTTTTCTCTAGAACCTTCTGTCTCCTTTCAGAGACGCTGGTCTTGTAGTGATCAACAGGAGATCTGGTGGTTTTGTTTCTCTAGGACAGAGTACTGATCATTCCTCAGGAGTGACTCCACGGCTGCAGACTCTCTCACTAATGCAGGTGTTAACAACGCTGTGATCCAGTCATGCAGATTGCAGGTTATGTGTGACTGTCTATCCCTTAAACTGCAGATCATCACTCACAAAGGTAACCAGGAGTAGTAGTGTCCCTGCAGCCTGATAAACTGTGAAAAAGAAATACACCGTAAGACAGTTTAATGAGAGCGGCTGTGATGACATGATGGATCAGAGACGGAGAAGTGAAAGACAACACAGTCTGTGTCTCTGCTGAGATTAAACCTGTGCTCAGTGTCCTGCTGTGTCATCTCCTCACTGTGTTTTAATGCAGCTCAGAGATTTGATCTCAGGAACACAACATGTGACCCATCAACCCCAATCAGCTTAATGTGGACGTGAGCACAGCGTTCACCACAGACACTTTAACACAGAAGGACTTTCTATCAACTCTGCTCAATATAAATGATGTCAATAAATAATAAATAAATAATGATGTATCTTCCTGCAAAATGTGCCGATGTGACTCATTTCAAAGTCATTCAAGATAAGATGGGTTAATGCAGAGTTGAGGTGGGGAGGGGGTAAAGGATGCCATAATGAATGAATTATAAGAGAGAAAATAAAACTCACTCGATAATAAAAAATGAATAAAAAGTGGAATACATTTTAACAGAGGTGCAGCAGTGCATTAGTGTGAAGCAAAGCTTAAGTGAAGAGAGAAGTTATCTTTCTCAGATCTAGAGGTCATGTGTTCCACAGCAGGTTAGCAGTTAGCTTGATGCTAGCAGCTAAAACTGGACTAATGCTCTCGCTCCTGTGTGATGACGTTTGTTTGAAGTCTCGGTTCATTCAATGCAACATTTGACTTTTCTTTGTATCATATTCCACATTGATCTGAAAAGCATTTATTCTCTTTGTTTTGATTATTGATTGATTATGTCTTGATTATGATTTGTCTTTGCTGGTGAATCAGTTCCTGGATGAACATTTTGTATCTGTCACATTCATTACAATAAAGCGTTGGTCGTTCCCTCAGTGGCTGTTCAGTGCTTGGTACTGGCAGGTCTCTGCTGCTCTCTGCTGGACAACGTGGACATTAAAACACCTCTTCATGTCACAATAATTCCTTCAGCTGTTAAAGACAAAGGTTAAATAATTATCTGGTTAATACATTTAATACATACAACTAGCGGTGTGTATGTATTTCTCACTTTCCTTTGTGATTGTTCTTCATATTGATCCATCACACCTGTCAACGAGAGACTTTTGATCCTGTTTCTGTTCTGGGGAATGAATGGAGCTTGAATAGGGTTCATTGATCTGATCCAGTGTTGGATCAGTGCTGTTAGATTTTTAAGACAGTAAAAAAGTCCCTCAGTGAAACGCTGAGTTACAGGAACCTGCACCATGAAGCCGGATCAGTGGGTTCTCCAGTATCACAAAGCTGGCTCCCTTTAAACCAGGGTACATCACCATGGTAACTATGGTAGATCACCATGGTAACAGCTGCTGCAAGTTAACTTTAGAGGATCAGTTCAAAACCTGTCAGCTGCCCAACTGCTGACCAATCAGACCGCTGGACAGAAGAGTTTCCAATAAAGTGTCAAAGAATAAAGAGCAGCAGATATTTTTATTGATCAGTAGATCCAGGAGAAATGATCAATACTTCATGATTATAAACATTTCATTCAGACTGAGTTACTGTAAACTTTTCTTCATCTGCATCAGGATTTCAGAACATCATCACACTCAAAGCACGAACAACCAGGTCATTGTCATTGATAATATGATTTATCTAAAACTTCTCCCAGTGTCTGCAGCTTCTGTCTGTTCTGGTTCTGTGCTCATGTTCCTCATCACCTGGTGGAGCATCACTCTCAGCTGAGACTGGATCAACAGCTTCACTGCTTCATCTCATATTCATCACATCACTCAAGGTCCAGATGACTCTCCCAGAACCGGATCAGCTGAGAACAGGTCTCAGGATCCCGGTTATCCTCAGAGCCGTTAATGTTAGACTCGGTGAAGCAGGTTACACAGACAGCCGGACCGAGCCGGACCGAGCCGGACCCAGTCCGTGGTGCCGGGCCCGGTGACACACACGGGATTCTCCTGACGCTCTGAAACTGATCCTGCATCAGTTCGCTGACGCCTACAGGGCGTGGGACCTTTAGCTGTTAGATCCGTGCAGCTCATTGGTCAGCAGACTCAGGTGGTCGCCGTCCATCCAATCACAGGCCTTTATGTTACGTCGCCACCCCGACTGCTCTCCGGCAGGAAGACTGACCTCGGTTTATTTCCTGTCGGTGTAAACAGCGACGTTATCGTGTTTTTACTGAAGTCGAGTTTAAATTAATCAGTGAGTTACGGTTTCCCGCCTCCAGCCACTGCTGGAAACCGTAACCGTCACCTGTGGTTCATACGTGGGACTGACGGAGGGGAAGCTAACCGGACAGCTACACGCTAACGTTAGCCGTTAGCCCGGGGCTCGGTGCCGGTGACCGTCAGAGGTGAGCGCTGTTAGCATTCCTCCTGTCGTTAGCTCACAGAACCGGCAGAGCTGCCGCCTCACACAGCTGTTCTCACCCGAAATACACCGCCCGAGAGCCGGGCAGACGGGTGACAACACCCGCTCCTGGTGGCAGGTCCCCGGGTCTGCTGTCCGAGGACACACCGAACATCACGCTGAAACCTGAATGTAACGCTCCTGTCTTCAGCAGAAACCGTCCACACAACGAAATACCGCAAACACTGAGAAACGTCTGGTAAATTTGGCAAATGTCTCATACTCTAATTATTATTTAACCTCAGTAAATGGTGTAAAATGTCCAGACAGCTCTGAGCTTCAGCTGGATGACTGAGACAACAGGTTGTCCACATGTCTGAGTGACTGTAGTTTCATTAAACTGGCAGATGTTCGGTTTCAGGGTGGCAGTGTTTCATGTCCAGGCTGGATCCGGAGAGATCAGGTCTCAACACACTGTAACCTGATGTAGAGAAGAAAACACGGGATCCATCCAGTTACCTGTCACATCACTGTCGCTGCCAGTGCTCCTGAGTTTCAGTTTTATATTAAAATTAATTGGATTAATATAATAAGCCCAGAGGTTCTATTTAACACAAGGTGCAGTTCTCAGACCAGCAAGTAAACTGTTCCAGACTTCAGCTGCATAAATACTGAGTGTAATCTGCAGATTTAGAATAAGCTGTCAGGTGCTGCCTTGTGACCGGAGAGACCAGTGGGTTTGATATGTTGTAGTCTGTTCAGACACCTTCATACAGCTGACTGAAGGGACCCCTTCATGACGTGAGTCCCCTGTAACAGATGGAGGACATAAACATAAACCCTTCTAGTGCAACACTCCCTCTTTGTTTCCTCGCTCAGTGTTTCCTTTCTTTGGTGTTTGGACAGGACTGTCCACATACTTATGGCCATTTACTATAATTCTAAGCACAGGACTGATTCATTACTCTGTAAGTTACTGAACACAAACTTCTGAGAATCGTTCCACCATTAGAGAAATATGATGTTCTTTGTGCCAAAGATCAGGAAATTAAATCATTTGCTTTTATTTCTGCCACGTTTCTCAGCGTGTCACATTTTACTGTAGAAAACATCTTGAACCGCAGCATCACTCTCTCCAGCTCTCCTGTGCCTCCACTCTCAGAGTCGTATTAGTGTTAGATGTTTGTTGCTGCTGTCCTCAGTTGGTTCGTGCATGGGCGAGTGAACATCAGCCATGAGCACGGAGCCGGACGCCCTGGCCGTGGTCAACCAACTGCGGGACCTGGCCGCCGACCCCATGAACCGCAGGGCCATCGTCCAGGACCATGGCTGCCTGCCGGGACTCATCCTGTTTCTGGACCACCCAAACCCTCAGGTCGTCTACTCTGCCCTGCTGGTGAGCTGCGATAACCTGACATTAGTTTACACTGGCTGACATCCAGGTGGTGACTCTGACCCTCCTGCAGAGAGGGTCAGGATGCCCACTTACATTTCAAGACAAAGGTCCAGGTGTGGTACCGCTGGTTCTTTGTGCACTGAGCGTGTGGATAACTGTGATTGGTTGATGTTACAGGCGATCCGTTACCTGGCAGAATGTCGGGCCAACCAGGAGAAGCTGAAGGGGGAGTTGGGGATGATGCTGAGCCTCCAGAATGTAATGCAGAAGTGAGTCTCTGCTGTTCACCCGGACGACTCATACTTCAGCTTGAATCTGAAGTTTTTCTCAAACTGAACTTGAATGTCATTTGCTAAATTTATGAAGTTATTAAAACCGAAGAGGGACTGCAGCTAATGATTAGAGTCACTGTTGGTTCATCAGGCTATTTTTCAGTGGAACAGAAAAATGTCCATCGGAGCTCCCGACCAGCAGACTGTGTGTTTGACCGGTCACTGACTAAAAGGCTTCAGTCCACCACAGTGTCAAGTCTGAAGTATCTGGAGACCGGGGTTCAGATAGACCTCAGGATTCTGGTCTCAGTTCTCCAGTTACAGGTTTGCACACTTGATTCGGTTGATTTGGAACAGCACTCACGTACCTCGGCCCAGTCAAACAGTCCTACACATTAAGGAAAGTGGATCAGCACCAAAATGTAATGTGTTCTTCCCTGGTCCGGGTCCCGTCCCTCCACCAAGTCTGGAGCAAATGGGTGCAGAACCTTTTTTTGTTTTTTTTGTTTGTTTTTTTAACAACTTTATTTATCATTTTATCATTATTTATGGAAAACATTGACATCATTAGTTATGCATTTCTTACAAAAGTTGTGAACGTGCCCCCCTCCCCATGCAGGTGGCATCCCCACAAACACATCTATATAAACACTCATGTATCAAACGGGCAAACAGAACACCAAAAGAAGAAAACAAATATACACAAATACAAAAAACACAGACACAGAGAAAAAAGACTCAATCCGATCTGTGTTGATCATTACGGTCAGGGTTCAGAACCTTTGGTTTAAACCTGCTGGCAAACAAACAACCACAGGTGAAAACACGGTCGCCTTCACAGAGGTTAAAACACCTGAACTCATCATATCAGTGAGAGTCAATCCAAGTCTGAATACACTGTGTGCTGAGTTAACTTTATTACCATGACGATAAATGACCTTCAGTGAGTTCATAGTCAGTAAAGCAATTCACCGTAACTTCAAATTAAACAACCAAAGAGATTAATATATGCGAAGTGAATAAAAACCAAGACAACAAACAAACACAGAAGTCTGGTTACACTGCGCCTTCAGGCCTCAGTCGATTGATCCGTTTCATGTCGTCCAGGTCGACCACTCCCGGAGAGACGAAGCTGCTGGCGTCAGAGATCTACGAGCTCCTGCAGGCGTCCAGCAGCGCCGACTCTGGGCCGGCCGAGGAGGCCGTCAGCAGCCGCCGTAAAGCCCAGTTCTTTCTGGGCTCCAGCAACAAGAGAGCCAAGACCGTCATCCTCCACATCGACGGCCTGGACGACTCGGTGAGCACGAAGCCCTGAGTGACGACATTCATTCATTCATTCATTCATTCATTTTTTGGAGCACCCCGGTTACGTGTTGCACCTTCAAACACCTGATGAGGTAGAAACCAGGATACTGTGGTATGTAAACACCTGATCCAGGTTTCTGACGGTCCTCAGATCAGCAGCGTTCAGACAGACAGTCTGGTGAAATCAGACCGTCAGAAACCTGGATATGAGTTATAACCAGGTTTCTCTGTGTTCTGTGGGAACAGCATATTACAGATATGATCAAAACCAGGATCCTGATGTTCATGTAAACACTGTGTGTGACTTTGTGAAAGTTAAAGGCTGAACAATAAGAACACAGAAGAACCAGAACCAGCAGAGGCGTTCTGGTTCTGGTTCATCCTGCTGACACGATGAGACTATCACTCCATAAAAATGCTCCGGGGTTCAGGATTAAACTCAAGACTCCAAACATCTGACTGTCGTTTGTGTCGCTCCTCCTCCCGCCCAGAGTCGGAGGAGTCTGTGTGAGGAGGCTCTGCTGAAGATCAGAGGAGTGATCAGCTTCACCTTCCAGATGGCCGTGAAGAGATGCATCGTCCGGATCCGATCAGACCTGAAGGCCGAGGTGAGACAGGAGGTGAACATTTACAGTCCACAGGAGACTCCTATTCTCCTATTCTCCTCCTCCTCTCCTCCTCATGTCTTCATCTCCTCCTCCTCCTCTTCCTCTCCTCCTCATCTTCACGCTCTGCTGAAAGCAGGGAGTTGATGTCAGATTCTCTGTAACTGTAGCTGATTTCATAAATAATAAAAACAAAAAAGATCATTTGATTATTTTCTCAGATTCCTGATACTGACCAGAGATTAAATAATGTTGATGATTTTCTTTGACTCTTCTCCGTGAGGTGCGAGTGCTTCATCTGCTGTTAGCTTGTTATATATATATATAGTATTATATCAGATAGAAGACAAGGAAAGAAGACAAAGAAACAAAGAGAGTCTGAAAAAGACTCAATTAAAACATCCTGGAGGACTGATGGAAACTTAACGTCATGTGTCTTTATTTCTGGTTTGAACTGAAAGTGTGAATAATCCTCGGTGAATGACAGAAGGTGTTTTTCCGTTCAGGCTCTGGCGTCTGCGATCGCCTCCACCCAGGTGATGACGGCTCAGCAGGTGGTGAAAGGAGAAAACGGAGACGAGGTCAGTTTCAGTTTCGCTGCTGAAATCATCCAGTGAGTTAACAGATCCCGGTCGGTCCTCCTCCTCTCAGACACACCAGCAGGGGGCAGCAGAGTCAAAGTGACCCTGAACCAGAGCTACAGATTCATCTTAATATAAATAACATGTAAAACCATCAACTCACAGTGTCGGAGTCACTCAGATAAGATGGTTTGTGTGTTTGTTTGGACAATGAATTTGAGTCAGTCAGATCCCTGAATTCCCTGAGTTTAGCTTAGCTTAGCTTAGCTTAGCTTAGCTTAGCATAATAACTGGAACCCACTAGCCTGGCTCTGCCCAAAAGGGGCAAACTCCACTTGCCAGCGCCTCTAAAGCTCAACGATAAACATGTTTGACCTGATAAGGTGAATACAAAGATGTTCTATAGTTGGTAATGTCAACATAGTGTTGCATGGCAACCAGCCGAATTCCTAACACGGTGAATTATTAATTGAATGTAAAATAAAAAGAGGAGCCAAAACAAGAATCTGTGGGACTTCGTATTATGATTGAAGCCAACCTGCAGCCGGTCTCCTGACTCCATCAGAACCCCATCATCCTCCACATCTGTATCTGTGGCGTCTCTTCTCTGTCACTGTCTCCAGGTTTTGATCCCGTTGACGGAGGACGGTTCGGTGGAGGTGGAGCAGAACGTGGACCTGCCGGACTACCTGCCAGAGGACGAGAGTCCGTCTCAGGAGCCCGACAAGGCAGTGAGCCGGGTCGGGTCCGGCCAGGACGGGACCAGCTGGCTCGGTGCCGCCGCCAACTTCCTCTCCCGCTCTTTCTACTGGTGACCCCCTGGGGCCGCCTCCCCCTCCTCCCCGCTCTGTTAAACCCCTCCCCCCCACGTACTCTCAGAACAAACACCTACCAGCTGCCAAATCTCAGCGCTGCCAGTGTCAGCCAGAGACCGAACCTGAGACAGAACCTCCAACAGTGAGTTTAAACACAGACACCGCCTGTCGGCGTGAAAACAAACCTCTGGATTGTGGTTTTAAAGTTTCTGTTGGAGGTCTGTGGCGTCACTCTCTCTGTAAACGGGTCCAAATGTTACAAACCAAATTGTCTTAACAGACAGGAAGTGTCCTGCAGGGACACAAACAGACACCAACGAGTTAGAGTACAGAGGCCTGACCGGGACGCCGCTCTCCTCCTTCTTTTTATTATTTATTTGACCAGAAGACTGAGTGACTTCTCTTCCTGCAGTGGCGTGTGTGACAGGACGAGCAGCGTCACAGTTCAGTCAGCTGTGCCTTCAGTGTCTCCAGCTCTCAGCACTTCGGTGCTGGGCTCAGGCTCAGTCCTGGAAATGTCAAAAATGATGACGGATGCCCACGAAAACCTCAGAGGAGTCCACAGCAGAAAATCAAGCCTTATGATCTGAAACTTAAAATCCTCATCCTTTAATAAAACATCTCAGTAAACTGTTGACCAGAATCACCAATGATCAGAAACCACGTCCTGAATTTGGTGGACGGTTTCCTCGGGCTCAGATTAGTTCTCATCAGTCTCCATACCAACCACATGTGCATGAGTCCAGCTGTGATCAGATCAAGTGACTTCACTTGTTTCTGATGAGTAGAGCTCTTCTCAGGAAAGTGCAGTTTGATCAGTCGAGTGTCGTCGCTCCAGTCTGAACCTTTGAGGCCAAACCTGAGCGGCGTCTGGTTCCCTCCTCTGCTGCTGTGTCAACGTGAGGCGACTGATGGAGATAAACAGCAGGTGGGTGAGTCTCCAGTCGCTGCCATTAAACCACCACAGAAGAAGAGGACACAACTGACAGACGTCTTCCTCACTCTCCTGTCAGGTGCACGGCCTCAGGTGACCTCGTGCTCTGCACACATCTACCTGAGCCGACGTCGCAGATGAACAAAAATACCTGTACAGATACAAACATCCAGAGAGGAGGACCTGCTGTGTCAGCTGGTCCCTCGTGTTTGGGGCGAATCATGTCGCTTTTATGGGTATTTGTCCTCATTTTTGACAAATTCAGAGACAAATGAAAGTGGTGGTTAGTTGCAGCCTTCCTGTGATGTTACTGCAGTCATGTGTCGGTGGTAAAACGGCAGATTTAAAGACTCTGCAGGGAGGTCAGAGACTCGGAGAGGCCACAGGTTTGATTCCTGTTTCCTGTGAGTGGGAGAGGGATGGACTCCTCCTCGGATCAGTGGCAGGACGGTGCTTTACTTTCTCTTTCTGACTCTTCTTCTCTGATTGTTCAGAGCTCGTGAGGTTTCTGGACCCGTCGTCATGTTTACACCAACACCCCCGTGTGAATGCCTTTAAACTGAACTTTTATTTTGACACTTCCTGTGGACCAGACGCTGAACTCTGCCCTACATCCAACCACGGTGGTGTTGCATGGAGCTATGTTCCCTAAGCTTGATTTTCTCTTGTAACAGCCGGAGGGTTGATGGGAATCAGTTTTGTGACTATTTTGCACAGTTGAATCTGAGGGTGATGTTTTTAAATAGAGTAGAAATCTGTGTTTTAAACACTGGACCATGTGAGACAGGACTCAGCTGTTGGGGAGAAACTAAAACAACAAGATCACTAAGATGATTAAAGAGCTGAGTCATCACTTCTCTGAACAAACGTCTGAACAAAACCTGAAGGTCACAGTATTAAATGCAGCAACAACAAACGTTTCATTAAAATGTAGACTTTCCCTTTACTCACCTCTCCTGGTGTTAATTCATGATTAAACCACAGAAGTCGAGGTTGATGTTTGATTTAATTCACAGAATCACATGAAAAATCAAAGGAAAATAAATCAACCCTCCAAATTTTTATTTTATTTTAGTTAAGACTGAGACTTTCTTCTGAAATGACCTTTAATGACCTTGTACAGATTTTTACTGTCCTCCTCTCATTCTGTGAGTTTGTGTGTTCATGTACCTGCCAGGTGTGCTCATAGCTCTGCCTACACCACTCACTGTCCAATCACATTCAGAGTAGCCTGTTGTCAGATGTTAGCATGATGCTTAATGCAGTACTGGCCTGAATATAATACGACTGTTTGAACAAAAAGCAACATTATGAATAAAATGGAGACAGAAACATGTTTGAACATCAGTCATGTTGAATAAGTTTCCTCCTTTGTTGTTTGTTTAAAACCTGATTGTTTGTTCACAGTCGTTGACTTCCTGCCGTCCGTCATGCAACACATTCATTAAACCATGTCTCTATAGCTCCAACAGTCTTCACCAACGTTTCTAATAGTCATCAGTCAGCGAAAACCACAGACTGTAAATAAAGATGGATGTTGCATCTGTGACGTCACCCACAGGTTTCTAAAGCTCAGAGGGAGCTGCTCCACCGTCGCCATCTTGGCAGTGTCTGACTCTGCCCCGCTAAAACAGAAATGGTCAAAGAGGAGGGTTGCGTGATGAGCTGAGACTTAAGTGCATGTTCATCACTCAAAGAGGCCACGCCCTCAGTCTTCCATAACTGTAGTCCTTAATAAAATGTAAACAGGTGAGTTATATAAACAGGTGAGTTTTATAAACAGGTGTCATGAAGGAGGAAATTATCTCTAGAGACCAAAACAGTTTTTGTACCAGGCTGTAAACATGTTTATTTCTGCTGTAAAGTTGGACATTTTAACATGGGAGTCTATGGGGACTGACTCACTGTTGGAGCCAGACTCTAGTGGTCGTTAGAGGTACTGCAGCTTCCGGTTCTCCATGTTTCAGCCTCAGAGGTTGAGGCTTACTCTGGAGGTGACCCACAGTTCATCACAGTTACACACTTGTGCTTCGCAGTGTGGACATGACGTCTGTTAAGATGCTGTCAAAAGGAAACATCTGCTGCTGTGAATATTTGTCTTCAGATATAAAACGGCCAGTTTTTCTCAATGTAATTTCAGGACAGTATAGAACGTGTTTTCCATTCAATCATTCTGTTATATTATTAAAAGTTTTGTTCATTAATTTTCAAATGAATCACATTTATTCCCTCACTATGAACTCTTCTGTAGCTGCATGAGCTCTAGAGTTCATTCTGTTGTATTATTTTTATTATCAAATCACTTCTTTTTTTTTTAAATTTAAATCCTGATTTTTTTCTTTATTGAAATCTGCCGACACTGGCTGACACTGAAGATTTCATCATCATCATCATCGTCATCATCATCGTCAGTGTGCTGCTGTCTAATGATGAGTCCTAAAAGTTGCCTCAGAGATGAAAATGTGTCATGAATGTTTCTTTCCAGATGATGTTAAGAATGATTCCAGCGAGTTTTAGATCATTAATTCAGTTTGATTTAGTGTGATTTGTTTCTTTCAGTCACACTCAGAAGCTGAAGTTGAGTGATGGAGAGACAGGAAATGACAAATGATACACAAGTACAGACAAGCTGTGAAATGCATAGTGCCACCACAACAGCCCAAGACCAACCCAGCCACTGAGTCTAAATACAATGTTCATACAGTTATCCTATGAAATATAAAAGGCTGACCAGTGAAACAGCCAGTACATGTCAAATTAACCCCGACAAACAGAACACACGAGACAAAGTTCATATGTCAGGAAACAGGAAAGTATCACACGTCGTTCACAAGCTTCACAGACACATTGTGAGGCATCAAATGTTTTTATTATTTCACTCAATATTGTGATGATTCCATCATAGACGGACTCTGCGCTGGCGCCAAGCCCACCTGACATCGTACAGCCCGGACAGGTAGACAGTCAATCACAGCGCCTTCCGACCGACGAACATTTAAAACGCAAATGGATTTTGTCCATAGCGAGAGACGGAAGAACAGGATTTACCGTGAGGAGACGCAGTTCTCCCGTGTGTGCTTCGCACTTTGAGGCAAGTCAAGTCCCAAGTCTCTGATCCCAAGTCCAAGTCAAGTCTTAAGTCTCTTATGGTTGTGATGAGGGTCTATCATCAGGACATCTGGTCTGATTAGAACACTACTGACGTATCGAAGGAATTCAAAGCATGTGCTACAAAAAGATTCCTAAACAATTCGTAATCGTTGGTTTGAGGTTTTGGTGCTTGTAAAATATCTGTTTTTCTCTCTTTATCTAAGTGTCGTCCCTCTGCTGAAAGACAATAACCTAAATATTTTACTGTCTCTTTACAAAGCTGCAGTTTGTTTTTACTTGATGTCCTTGTTGTGCTAGGAACTTGAGCAAAGCTACTGAGTCCTCTTCACATGCTTGTTTTGTGGCTGAGGCCAAAAGAATATCATCAACATATAATAAAACCTGGCTTCCTTTTGTAGGTTGAAATTTTGCTAAATTTGCATAATCTGAGAGAATATTGTTGGACTTTCACAGTATCCCTGGGGAATGTGGATATAAGTGTGTCTTTTCATTTTGTAGGTAAATGCAAACCACAACTGTCTGTCTTTATGAACTGGACCAGAGAAAAAAGCATTACTGATGTCGCAGACAGTGAAATATCTATTTTCTGGTTTCAACTCCTTTAACAGTGTATGTGGATCTGTTGGTGCCCTCGGTACCACAGCTTTATTTACTGCCTGTAGAGCTTGTACCATCCTCCAGCCAGTAGAGGGTGCTGTTTCTTAACAGGGAATAGTGGTGTGTTGCATGGAGAGTCAGGACATTCAATTATGACTCCTGCCTTGATTAGGTCATTAATGATGGTTCTGTCCCTGCTTCAGCTTCAGCTTCAGGTTTTAATGGATATTGCCTTTGATGCGGTCTAAATGATGATTTCAGTGTTATGGAGACTGGTGCTACCCCTTTGATTAATCCCACATCTGCTGTCCCTTGTGACCATGATTTGGATGGAACTTCTTTTAACAGCTGTTCTTCCTTTTCTGTTAACACATATATTTCTCATGTTCTTGATTTTGATTCATGTGAGTGTGTGTTAGGTCTGGCATTGGTTACCCAGCTCAGTTTCTGGCTGTATGCTCTCAGACTGGGGGAGTACTGGATATTTTTACTTACATCTTCCCAATCTGAGGTTTGTTCACACTCTGTCACAAATGTCCCCACATCTGGCCAACGTGTTGTTTTTGGCTTTGATACAGACACATGTGGGGCTGAGAGGGATCTATACAGTTTCCTCATTTGTGGAGTTAGATTACATGCTGCTCCGCAAAATCCTGTTTTGTCCCATTAAAGGTTTGTCAGGGTCAGTTTTGTTTGAGAAATTTTGTAAAACTGTTTCTCACAGTCAGGATTTGGTCCTGTGGTGTGTTTATAATACATGGTGCAATGTAACTCAGCTGGTTTTATAAAGTCTGCTGTTGGAGGAGCACATGATTTTCCTTGTTCTGTTAGAGGAGATGTAACTGAGCTTGGGCCTGTACCTGCAGGATCTAGGCTGTACCAGTACTGTGGTGGTTTTACACTGTAAAACTAATGTCTCTGCACGTTTAACCCTGCGCTGTGCAACTAACCCACCATCACAGGGTACTACTGCTGTGTCTAATTCTGCCAGTAAGTCTCCTCCCAATAGGTTCACTGGACAGATGTGAGACAGGACTAATTTAATGTGTATCTGCTTATTTGTTTCCGGGTCTGTCACCAGTGTTGTTTGTGATAAAGCTTCTTTATGAACTTTTCCATTTGCTGATTTTACATAGATGACATCGGAGGATCTCATTATGTCTGGTACATCGTCAGGATGTACTACAGATCGTGAAGCTCCGGTGTCACAGAGAAAAGTTACTTCACTTTCTCCAATTATTAGAGAAACTTCTGGTTTTATTTCCTGATTTAACATTAAATCAATATGTTGTAAGTTCAGTGTTTCACTATCTTCTCCTGCACTCTCTGTTTCTGTGTGTGGTGCAAGTTTTGTCTGACCTTCCTCTAGTCATGCTGTCCAGTCGTCACGCCCCCCCCTCCTTCCTCGGGGTCTGTGTTTTCTTTCTTTGCAGCTACGTGCCCAGTGGCCCTTACTACCACAGACGTAACCGGCATCCTCATCATCTTGTGGTGCACGCCCTCTTCCTTGTCCACCAGTTCTTCCTCCCCGGCTCCGCCCCCTTCCTTGTTCTGTCTGAAAGTCCACAGCCTCTCCTCCCTCATCAGTAAACACAAAGCCTTGCCCCCTCTTCTGCTTTTTCTTATTCTTAAAATGGCTTTCAGCATGTTTACAATGTTCTAAAACACTAGTCAAGCGTCCAGTACGATAATCTATCATGTATTTCATTACGAAGCTACTGATTTGAGGTTGGACTCCACTGAGGAGAGCATTTTTGAGCTTCGTACGGACTGTCATTAGCCATGTCCGCAAGTGGAGACACTCTGCTATGTGTATCAAAGATCTCTTTAAGTCTAGAATAGTAATGCTCTACGTCCTCATCCTCTTTCTGAACACATCTATTCACCTCAGTCCAATCTGTTCTTGCTTGATATTTAATCACAATTCTCTGCAATCAATCATTTACTCTCACTCTCAATTCAGCGGAGTCATGCAGCAACGGAGTAACGTTTCCCGCATTTGGGTTCCAATCTCCGCTGATCAAACACCAGTCTGGTCCCTTCACTTTTCTTATTGCCCTTTCAAGTTCTACTCCATTACATCCGTAACTTGCAGATTTTGTATCTGGGTTTGGAATTCGCCTGGTTTTGTTTTTGGATGTGGTATGTCTTCAGTTGCCTTCGCTACGTCCTCATTAGTCCAGGGTCGGTATACAAACATTGTTGGATGTGCCTCATCCCCATGTGGATTTGGCACTTCGATTAGTGGGAGTGTTTCTGTCTCTTGTATTGGATAGGTTTGTGGATTTTTATTTTGGTCTACAATTCTCCAAACAGACCCTACTCTCCCTGATCTTAATTCTCTCCCTTCATCCTTTTTCTGCATTTTTAAGGGGGTAACTGTGGGTGCGGCTGCCGGTGGTGCTGTTGGATTTGTCTGTTCTAACTGCCTTAAGTCATGGTCTGGGTAAGGTGCAGGATTTAGCACTGGTCCCAGAGCAATGTCTGCTCTGTGGCTTCTTCTCACTATTACATTGTCATCTTCTCTGTCTGTCAAAGTCGTTACTTCAGTCTGTGTCTCTGTCTGTGTCTCTGTCTTGTTACTGCCGCCACTCTGGCCTTTTTTGTTGTGTTTAATTTTCCTGTCTG